TCTGATAACAACAAAAATTGCATGATTGGAAGTGATTGGAAATTGCAGAGAAGGTTCTATCCTTTGTTTCAATCACAAGTCATACTGGAAAGGACATTGCAGAGAAGCTTGTAGGAGTTCTTGAAGAATGAAAGGTGAAGATGTTTTTCTGCATGACCATGGACAATTCAACTTCAAATGATATTCCTAATGATTGCATGAGAACGAAGCAAAAGGAGTGGGGGTGTGATATGATGGTTGGAAAGTATCTGTAGTTTCTATGTGTGGCACACATCATTAATCTCGTACTGCAAGATGGACTGAAAGTGATTGGAGGTGTTGTGGATAGAGTTCGAGATTGTGTGAAGTGTGTGAGGTCATCACCAGCTGGGTTGACAAGGTTCAAGACTACCATGCAATTTCTAAAGGTGGATTCAACCAAATTGGTGTCTTTGGATTAACCGACTAGGTGGGACTCCATCTATATCATGTTAGAGTCAACAGAAAGGTTTGATGGATTTTTTGCAACTTTGTATTCAAGCCCACACGATCATTTCTTTAGAGATTATGTTGACTCAAGAGGTGGTCTTCCAACTGAACAAGATTGGCAGGTGATTAGGAAGTTGATGAAGTATCTGAAAGTCTTCGATGACTTGACCCTCCTAGTCTCGGGTATGTTGAATTTGAATTGCATTGTTTTATTTTAATCATTTGATCATCTTGTTTGTTTTACTCTAATTTTATGTGTTCTCTTCTCATTGGACAGGAACTAAATATGTGACTACCCATATCTTCTTCAAGAATATTGTTCCAATCTATGACATCATTGAGGAATTTAAGAATGATCTGAATGAAGAGATCCAAAGGATGGCAGATAAGGTTGAGGAAAAGGTACATAAGTATTGGTTTGAGACACCTCCTATTGGCGAGGAGAACATGAAGGTGAATCACTTAATTTATATAGCATGTGTGCTTGATCCTAGAAGTAAACTTGATCTGGTGTCCGAGATTTCGGAAATGATTTATGGGAGAGTGAAGGGAGGAGAAATTGAGAGTTCCATTACTTGGCAGATGTGCTAAATGTTTGAGGTTTATAAAGGAAGTATGAATAAAAAACACCCTCCTCTGCATATGAGCCTACCACTGATGTGAGCATTATTGGTGGTAGTTCTGCTGAAGGTGTTGGTGATAGAATTAAGAAGCTTGAGGAGAGGCTCAGACAAAGGAAAAGTGAAGCACTTCTACAGGAGATAGGAGTTACCTTTGTTGAGCTTGACATTTATCTAAAATGTCAAACTGATGGCATCAATGAGAAGAGTGATGATGCCAAGTTTGACATCTTGGGTTGGTGGTCTCGACACTCTTTTCTATATCTCATCCTTTCTGAGATGGCTAAGGATATCCTAGTTGTTCTCATCTCTTTTGTTACTCAGAGGCAACATTCAGCTGTGGTGGCCGGATTCTCAGTCCATTTAGGTCCTCTTTAAGCGATACAATGGTGGAAACATTGATTTGTGTTGAGGATTGGATAAAGTATCCAACTAGCAGATTAGGAGAGATTGACGAGAGGAAGATGATGAAGAGAATTTGGATTTGGAAAGTGGTGAGTGGTGAGTTCTAAAACTCTCTTAATTACTTGTTGTTCAGGTTTTCACTATTTCTTTCCACCTAATTCAATGTATGAATATCTTAACACTTTGTTTTCTTTTTTCTTACTCAGTTAATGCCACTTTCCAGTCTAAAATGGAAAGTGCAATGTTGCCAATGCAGATGCAAGTCTCAACATGCAATGGAGAATGAGCAGGAGGGTGAAGAAGTGTCGGAGGAAGAGTATGAGCAAGATGGATATGACCAATATGATCATGACTTGTTGGGCCAATTGAAAGAACATGGTTTTGCATATGTTGATTCTTCTCCCGGTGTTGATAAGTGATGAATAATGATGATTTGTTGTTGCTATTTGGATCTATTGTGATTTGTGAATTGTGGAGTTTATGATTTTATGTTGTTGAATTTGAGACATTAATTTGGTGATTTAGATGTACTTTCAATGCAAAAGGGATCGAGACTTTACTTTGGGTGATTTAGATGTTGAAATGTAGGTTTGAGCCTTTAATTTTAGGCAATTTTACTGATTTTTTATGCAGGTGGGGATGTTTCGGGTCGGTTACCCGATTAAAAGCAAACCTGCCCATAAAGTTTTGTTGCAAGGCTAACCAAACCAAAACTTGATAACCGACCAGACGGTGGTCGGCTACTGTGCAGCCCTTCTAGGTCGGTTGTCGGATGGCAGAAGGGGGTGGTTTGGCTAACCGATAATCGACTACTCGGTTTTTAGTTAAACCGAAACTGACCGCCCTCCAGTCCTATCATCAATGTTGGATGTGAGGATGCCTTTGAAATTTGAATGATGCCTCTGATTATAGGTGTCAAAACAGAACCCGACCCGACTAACCCGCCCGATCAACCCGACCCGCAACCCGAATTGACTAAAAGTCAACAACCCGTAACCCAACTGACCCGCAACCCGATTAACCCGAACTCGATTGACCTGCAACCCGATTAAATTCGAACCCGATTTACTCGGGTTTTTTAACAAAATTAAAAAGTAAATATAAAATTTTAAATCAATACAATGTCAATATTAATAATAAAGAATTAATAAATGAGATCATGGACAATACTAATATAATATATAAATTAAAATTTTGGTAAGTTTAACTATTCAATAAAATTATCAATTAAATATAAATAAAATAAAGTAATTTATTTGGTAATTTGATGCTTTTAAAAGAAGAGGGAAATTTTAGTGTATTCAACTTTTTGGGAAGAGAAAGAAGAGAGAAATTTGGTTCTTTGAATTTTTGAGAAAAGAAACAAAAGAGAATTTTGGTTTTTTTTATTTGTGAGAAGAGAAAGAAGTGAAAAAGTTTGGTTCTTTTGATTATGAAAGAGAAATAAGGAGAGAAATTTTGAGTTTTCAACTTTTTGGGGAAGGAAGGAAGGAAGAAGAAATTTGATTATTCAATTTTATGAAAGAAAAAGAGGAGGGAAATTTGGTTCTTTCAATTTTATGGAAGAGAAAGAGGAGGAAAAATTGAGTGTTTCTAATTTATGGAAGGAGAAAGAAGAACGAGAATTTTAGTATTTTAATTCTTTTTTTTTTGTGAAAATAAAGAAGTAAAAAAATTTGGTGTTTTCAACTTTTTGGTGTTTCAAAATTTTGGCCTTTAGAATTTGAATCTTTAATTTTTATATGGAGGGCATGACTAATTAAATTTATTTTTATATCTTTTGAAGGTTAATATATATGTAATTATTTATGGTCTAATAACTATATTAATCATTAGTTACAACAATCATTTGCTTTAGAAAAATTTACTAAATTTGTCTACTTGTTTTCTAGTTAGGGTATAGAGTATATGATGTAGAGTATAGGATATATGGTTAATGTATAACAAATATCACTTTTCATCTATGTTTTGAAAATCAAAGTATAAATTTTACTTTAAATTAACTATAATAGCAAAATTACAACTCATAAGGACATATTATTAGGGTATATTGTATGTGGTTAGTGTATAATGTATTGATGGTTTAGGGTATACGATCAACAATATATACTAACTTAATATTGTCGATTGAGGGTAAGGTTAAGTGTATAAGATATATGTTATTGAGTAAATTATGATTGAAGTCACAACAATTTTACTAAATTTGATAGTTAATCTTTAATGGTTCAATTTTTAGGGTAACTCGAACAATTTTATAAATAACTCGTTTGACAATCGTTTACTGAAGTTATTAGGGAATTGAGTTATTTCGAAATAACTCGTTTACCACTTTGCTTTTGTCAAATACTACACGACAAATACCAGATTTGCATGGTTATACTAAACGAGATACTTCAATCCGATTACTACTGAAATAATACTAAAATACCAAATAAACAATTAATGGTGTCTTTAGGTTGCAAATGTTGATATCGGCATACTATTAGCTAGTGTACTTTGCCAATTACGATTAATTACGTACATAACAAGTTTCCAAGTCGTACAAATTGATTCAACATTTTAACTAGTTTTTTTTTAATCAAGTATATATATGAGGTAGAAAAAAAAATTGGTTAAAAATTGAGAACAATATTTTAAATTAGTGTAATAAAATGTCTAAGTTGGTTACGAGTAAGGGGTAAGTTACTCGATGCGTTGACCCGAACAACCCATAACTCGATACGCCCGCAACCCGCCCGGCCCAAAACCCGATAAACCCGCAACCCGATTTGCCTACAACCCGATTGAATCCGAACTCGATGAACCCGCAACCCGACTAACCCGCAACCCGTTTGAACCCGAACCCAACTCCGACGAACCCGCAACCCGTTTGAACCCGAATCCGACGAACCCGCAACCCGACTATCCCACAACTCGATTGAACCCAGTCCGAACCTGCCCGATTGACAACTATATCTCCGATGGTGTAACCTTCCCACCTTCTTCCATTTATCTAATCAAATGAAGAAGTATAAAAACCATTCAACATGCTTCTAAGGAACGTTGCCTCCCTCCTTCACTCATACCATTCGTTGGCTGTTGCATTTCACTCCACAAGATACATATCCCCTCGTTCCATCTTTCTCTTTCGGGGGCCCTTTCTCCATCATTCCCTCCAACAAACAAAGCATTCCACCACCGAGTTTTACCCGCTTGATTTTGACAAAGAATGTCTCTTTTGCTTCAAAACCCACGCTGTCACAATTAAAGGACTCGTCATCATATCTTTCCGACCATAGATGGCTGGCTGGCTGGTTGTTCTTTTTTCAAATCCATGGATTATGAAACAAAAGAGAGAAGAAACGTTCATGGTTTCGTGAAATGGCTCACGATGAAGAGTTCCAAGGAGATGAATGGGCAGCAATTCACTACTTTGTTCATGCCTAATATTACAGAAAGAATGATCACAAATTTCGCAATGATATATCTAAACCCTAAACCAAGAAATCAAAACGAGAAAAAGAAGTTTCATTTAGGATTGTAATGTACGAAGTGATGCTCAATGGTGGGAACTGTCCGAGTACCGGCAGCCACCGGAGCTCTAACATGCCCGACCATGGAAACCTGCAGCGCTTCCTCTTCGTAAGCCCTTCTCTCCATCTCCACCATCCTCGCTTTCTTCTTTACCTTGGCAAACATCGCCACCACAAGCAAACCCAATAGCACAATCCCCAATGCGCTCCCCACGCTGCTCGCCACCGCCACTTTCCACACCGCCGCTCTCCCTCCTCCACCCGCCGCCGTCACCGCCGCAGGCGGCGGACTCCCCGCCGGCGGAGGAAGCTTCACAACCAGCCCAAAATGCCCGTTCGATGTCGAACCGCATACTCGATCTGAAATTGGGGGTTTCAAGCTCACTGTCTTCCCATCTCCCTCAAATATCGCACACAGGGGATTGACAATAGGATCATCAATCGGGTTCGTGAAATTGACGGCGATGGAGTTTCCTTGGGCGGAACGGATTCCAACCTCAAAAGGGTAGCTGGAATTGGGGCTATTGCTCCTCTTCCCACCGGCATTGTAAGCTGCTAGGCCGAGAATCGGCGACACGAGCTGGTAGCCAGAGAGGTTGTAGTTTGCAGAGTATATGGATGACCAATTGAGGCTCAATCTGTGTGTGATCAACATCACTCTCTCCACGCATGGGTAGAGCATTACGCCGATTCCAAGGGTGAATCCGTCGATCCGGGCGCCGTACCGTGTGAGGCTGCCGCACCGGAACCTGGCCGCTTGAGCTCTGACGGCGCCGGAGAGATTTGCAGGGAGGTTGACGTTGTGGATCTCCCCTGTTCTGGTCATGTTGATGAAGCTGGACCTGAATGTGTAGTCTCTTATTAGGAGATCCAGCTGCTGCGGCGATTTGATGGTCTCTTGAGCATTTGTTAATGGCGGTGACAGTGAGGGGAGGAGAATTATGATGATGAAGGTGAAAGAGTGGAGACTGGACATGATGGACTGGTGGGTTTCTGTTGATTTTTTTGGTTGGGGTGTAATGGAATTGGTTCTATGTCGACTGGGGGACAAACGGGGAAAAGGGTTTGTTGCTCTGCGTTGATGGAGATGTGAGAAAAAAAACTTTGGTGGATTCAAGGAGCAGGAAGAGAGAAGAGAGAAGAGAAGGAAGGAAGTTCTTGGCTGTGTTACCCTTTATGCGCTGTGTTTGAGTCAAAGTAAAGAATGTCTGAGCCCTTTGACAGTCCTTTTCTGTAAAGATGGTAAGATACTAAAAGACTTTCCTGTTTTCCGTTTCTCCCGTGGGGTAATTGTGCACTAGCCGCAGTCAAATCTTGGGAAATTAAGCTTAATTTATGTGGGATATATTTGGAAAGTTTAGTGACTCAATACTAAAAAGTCAAATTAGGAAAGACTCATGAGGAAATTTGAATATCTTGTTGAATATGATAGTTATGCTTCCTTACTCTTCAATCTATATCAGATGATTACGGTGAGTCATTTATAGATGAGTAAAATTAGTGATTATATGTATTTGTGTCCGGTGTATTATAGTTATTTGATTGTTGTGTTGATTGAAGTGCTAAAAATAATAAACCTATGACATTCAAGAGACAGTCAGGTCTTATTTGAGAGGGATGGGGAAATGATTTTCGGCCTTGGACTTGGAGAGTGGGGTTGAGAACTGATGAGTACAGAAAGGCAAAGGGGGAAAAGAGGGGATTGGCGTGCATAAGGAAATCAATGTGGAAAAGCTAGGGGAGCACATTCTAAGCTATATACAATGTCAACTAGGGGGTGGCGGTTTGGTTTGGTTCAGTTAACCGAATCAAAAAATTATTAGAAACTGAACATCGAATTAGTTAATTATCCAAAATCAAAAAAGTAAAAAATGAACTCTTGAATGCATTAAATTTTAATTTATCGGTTTATTAACAGTTTTCAGGTTGGACCAAATCCAAAACTACTAATAGCTTATCGATTTTTACCCATTAAAGAAAGCCTATAAGTCTTTAAACTGATTCAATTTCACTTTAAACCCAAAAAAAACCCCCGAACTGCGACTCCTACCACGGATGAAAAGAAAGAAAGAAAGAAAAGAAAGGGAGAGAAAATGTGCACTTTCTCGAGAAAATATGGGTGGGAAAATCAGGACCCCCCCACTTTCTGTATAACCATGATATGTTGAAGTTCTTGTTCTGTTTTCTTCTTTCTTTGTCCCAGAAGTTTCTTCTGGATGATCAACCTCCTCCTTCTGTGAGATGATTACATCCCTTCTTGGCGTTAGCTAATGGAGAAGTGTACTTACAATATCCCATCTAATTATCATATATCAGATAGAAACATTTATACTCAGCTGGTTCAGCCCAACAACCAGGAGAATTCAATGCTCCAAAGAAGAACACAGAGATGTATCCTGCTGCCGATAATTAATACAGCAACAAAGGATAGGAGTTATTGCTACTACTATTCTGATGTAAGGAGAAGATCCAAGGCAGATATCAGTCTCTTCAAGCCTCCCTTAATCCCAGTACCTTGCAGAAGTAGAAGAACAGAGAAGCTCAAAAGTACTGACAACGGATTGTTCTGCAGATCTTCTAGATACGCCTTAAATCCTAGTCAAATCGAACCACCTACTATAGTTGATCCAACCACAAAGGGATGTGAAATTAAATACGAGGGGAGGGTGGGTATAAGCACTATAAGAGGGAGGGTAATCCCAGCAGGTAACATATTCAAATTCCCAACAAGTTATCTCTATTCCAAGATCAAATCGACAAACAAACAGCCAAAACCCAGAGAAATGAGTGTCAACGATCTGATCAATCAAGCAGGAGAGTGGGATTTAGAAATGGTACCTGATGAAGGGAGAGTGGCCAATCGAAATACTCTAGTGGGGAAGATCTTCTCAGAAAGGACTATTAGTCTCAGAGCCTTAAGAGGAATGGTGAGATCTGCCTGGGTTGATAACCCCAAACCAAAAATGCAAGAAATGCCCAACATCCAGCCGCTGGAGGACAACACTTTTGTCTTTGATTTCGAGAAGAAAACTGAGATGGATGCTATCTGGAGCGACAGGCCATGTCCAATCTCGGGGACGGTGATGCAGCTGAAGAAACCATCTGCTTTTGAAGATGCAAAGGAAGTAAAGTTCCAGACCATCGAGTTCTGGGTTCAAGTGCACAACCTGCCTGAGGCATACAGATCTGAAGGTAACATATCGATGATGGAGAGGATGTTCCATAGGGTCGTTGACATCGACAGAGCTGCCATTCAAGCCCAGATCTACAGGAAGTTCATCAGGATCTTTGTTGAGATAGATGTCTCAAAACCTCTGCCGGATGGCTTCTACATAAGGCAGAAACAGAAGCGGAGCTGGGTCGAGTATAAGTATGAGAGGCTGTACTCTCTTTGCTACTTCTGCGGCAGGATTGACCACACCAAACTTGAGTGTGAGATGAAGAGGAGCTGTGATGAGAATGGGCTTCCTTACCCACAGCTGGAGAAATGGGGTCCTTGGACAAGGGCAAACTCTCCGATCTTCTCTCCCAGAACAAATCAGCAAGTGGATGTTGAGAAGGCGCTGAACCGGGATGCCGCGTCTGCATCAAATTCTCCGGTGGGGCTGCTCAACCCGTCGGCGGCGTCAACAGCGACGGGAACGAGTCAGAACATCCATCAGGGGGGCCCACATGCCTTGAGCTTCTCACCAAGACCTGGTCAGTCCCCATTCTCGAGTAATGGTCAGAACTTCACTCTCTCAACGGATCTATTTCAATCCCCCAGCTTTTTCTCCCCTACACCCCAAAATCACCCACCTTTTCAGCAAAACCAAGAAATGATTGCCTCTCCCCCCCAAAGCTTGAAGGTAGCCAGAAACCTTTTTGGAGATATTCCTTTCTACCAGGCTAGCCAAATGAATACCACGAGTAACCCTTTCCTCCCAGTGGGCTTTGCCAACCCAAACCTGAGCCCAGCTACCTACCCGGCCCAAGCAAACTACATTTTCAATCATAACTATTTCCAACAAGCCTGTACCTCTGCTCCAAAGCCCAGGAAATTCCTATCAAATGATCAGAGAAGAGGACATAACGGGAGCCCAGGGATGCAAAAAAAGAAAAGGAAAACTAGTTTGGTACAGATGGTTGAGGAAACAGGGGCTGCTGAGGAAGAACAGGGGAAGACGCGCAAAGGGCAAACAGGGGAGGTGATGTCGGAGGAGGATCCAAGAATCCCTCCTGGATTTGAACCGAAAAACACTGTGGATATGGTGGCCGATTCCAAGCCACCGGGGGAGCCATGAATGGACTGGTTTGGAACTGTCGGGGTTTCGGCCAGTCCCCCACAGTTCGACAACTTCGAAAACTGGTTAGGAAGAACAAGCCTGCCTTTGTGTTTCTGTCTGAGACTAAGAAGAAGGAGTCATACATGGAGACTAAAAGAAAGAGTCTGAAATTTGCCAAGAAATTCTATGTTAACCCGGTTGAGAGGGCCGGGGGTCTTGCCTTATGGTGGTTAGAAGATTTTCCTTTGCGTATTCTAGATAGTGGTAGGCATTTCATAGATGCTTTTATTGATATTGAAGGGGGGTTTTTTGTTACTTTTGTCCATGCCCCGTCAGAACCTGCTAGACGTAGAGAATTTTGGGATCAAATTAGCAACCTAAGAACTAATGCAGAGGACAAATGGGTTGTTATGGGGGATATGAACGCTGTTTTGTTCTCTGAGGAGAAACTGGGGGGAGGTCCGCCTAGAGCGGATTCTGTAATTCCTTTTAAGGACTTTGTTTCTGATAACGCATTAATGGACCTTGGCTTTTCGGGCTACCCTTTCACGTGGAAGAATAACCAAGAAGGCTCAAGAAGGGTTGAGGTGAGACTGGACAGAGTGTTGTGCTCAACATCCTGGTTCTCCACCTTCTCTAATGCTAGGGTCATCCATGAGCTGCCTATCGAGTCTGATCATAGCCCCCTGAAAGTGGAGTTGGAAGGTGTAAAGCAGAGAGTCAAAACTCCATTTCGGTTTGATACAAGATGGCTAAAGAGAGAAGAGTGCCATGATATTGTCAACAGGATATGGGAAGAGGAAGGAAATTGTGAAGAGAAAATGTCTAAATGTGAAAAGGAGTTAAGGATTTGGGCTAAACAAGTTTTTCAAGATCAAAATAAAAGGGCTGATGAGATTCAAAAAAGGCTTGAGGAGATTCTCTCACTTGAGCGTACTGAGGAAATTATCAATGAAGAGAAATTGTTGATGAATGAATTGGCTATCATCTGGAAGGATGAAGAACTGTTTTGGAGCCAACGATCTAGAATCAGCTGGCTTAATGAGGGAGACCGGAATACTAACTTCTTTCATTCCTCAACTATTCACAGGAAGCTGAGGAACAAGATTGTTAGGTTGATTGATGAGAATGGTGGTGTTATTTCACAGCCTGAAGATATTAATTCTCATGTTAAAGAATACTATAAAACTCTGTTCACCAAGTCTGATGGCAGGGATTTGTCCGCTCTTCAGGATTTTCCTCAACTTGTGTCACAAGAAATGAATTTAGATATTTGCAAGGAACCCACTGTGGAGGAGATTAAAGAAGCTGTGTTTGAGCTTGGACCCACAAAATCACCCGGTCCAGATGGGTTTGCAGGGAGCTTTTTCCGAAACTTTTGGGGTAAGATTGGTCCAGATTTTTGTAAGGAAGTGCAGGTGTTCTTTGAGACTTCAATCATGCCTGACGGGTGGAACGATACCCACATCGCCCTCATTCCGAAAGTCCAATCACCGGAATCTATTAAACAGTTCAGGCCGATAAGTTGTTGCAACTTTCGGTACAAAGTCATTTCAAAAATTCTCTCAAGCCGAATGAAGAAATGGTTGCCTGGACTTGTCTCGGAAATGCAGGCGGCCTTCACTGGAGGTAGACTAATACAGGACAACATCATTATCGTTCATGAAATCCTCCATCACTTTAAGACCAGAAGGAGTGGGAATTGGGACATGATGATAAAATTAGACATGCGTAAAGCTTATGATCTAGTGGATTGGGAGTGCTTGGATGCTATCCTTCTTGCTTATGGATTTGCTGATAAATGGAGAGGATGGATAAGATCTTGTGTGCAAACTGTCAGGTTCTCATTATTAATGAATGGGAGCCCCACAGAGAAGTTTCAACCTTCGAGAGGTATTCGACAAGGAGATCCGATCTCTCCTTTCTTGTTCATACTCATGTCGAATGCATTATCTTTCTTGATCGATAAAGCAGTTGAAAAGGGTGAAGTTCAAGGTATCAAGCTCAATCCTAACTGTCCTAGGATCTCACATTGCTTATTTGCCGATGATACTGTTATATTTGGAAAAGCAAGTGTCAAAGAGGTCGATCATATTCAGAGGATCCTAATGAACTATGGAGGAATTACAGGGCAAGAGATTAATGCCGATAAGTCCTCGATCTTCTTCAGTAAGAACACGCCGGATGCGCTCAAAGGCATTATCACAAATAAACTGGGGTTCTCGCCTTCTATTTGTCACGACAAGTACTTGGGAGTTCCCTCGGTTTGGGGGCGGTCTAAGAAGGAAACTTTTCTTTTCCTACTTGAAAGGATGGAAAAGAAGGGGGAATCATGGAAGAGTTTACTCTTATCTCCGGGGGGAAAGGAGATTCTTTTGAAGGCAGTGATTCAGGCTATTCCGACTTACCTTATGAGTATTTTCCTTCTGCCCCTTTCCCTGACTAACAAGATGGATTCGCTGCTGAAGAGGTTCTTCTGGGCGGGTTCGATGAAGAAGAAATCTATCCATTGGTGCGATGCAAGAACTCTGGAGAAACCAAAAGAGGAAGGGGGTCTAGGATTTAAAAATTTCCATCTCTTCAATGTTGCCTTGATAGGCAAACAAGTTTGGAGGATTTTGGAGAATCCGGATTCTCTTTGGGTTCGGCTTCTCAAAGGGCTTTATTTTGTTAATGGGGATTTCTTCTCGGCCTCTAAAGGAAGGAAAGGGTCATGGATTTGGAGTGGACTCTGCGACACAAAAGAAAAACTCAAGATGGGTTTGGTTAAAAGTATCATGTCAGGTAATGATACCTTGTTTAATTCTGACCCTTGGCTTCTTTCTGCCCCTTCGTTTTCCTTGTCTTCTCTAGGTCTGAACCAGTCCAAGGTGAGCGATTGGATTCATCAACATGATAGAGAGTGGAAGAAGGAGAGCCTGTATGAGGTGGTTCCTGAAGGAGTGGTTGATGATATCCTGCGCATCCCGATTGGTCCCCAGGGGGCAGCAGACAAGTGGATATGGAAGTTTTCTAATACAGGAGCTTACTCGGTGAAATCCGCGTACAGAGCTCTCAGAGATAATAGGGACCCTCACTTGCAGTTAACGTCATCAACTGGCCTACGACCTAATAGTGAAGACTGGAAATGGCTTTGGTCCCTGTCTCTCCCTCCGAAGTTGCGCTTCTTTATATGGAAGATTGCAAAGAGTGCTATTGCCACTAAAGCTAGGCTGTTTGATCGAAAGTGTGCTCCTAGCCCTGCTTGCTCCATCTGCAATCATCATGTTGAGTCCATCCATCACTGCTTCTTTAAGTGCCCTCATGCTGCCTCTACGTGGGATCAGTTGGGTCCTTCTTCTTTCCTCTTGCAGGAGGACTGTTCGTTCTCGGAATGGTTCTTCAGGCTTAAGGACAGTTTTTCGGTGGATTTCATCAAGAGAAGCGTGTGCATTTTGTGGAACATATGGATTGCTAGGAATGGCTTTTTATTTGAGGATAAGGTCATTTCCCCGACCTCTTCAGCAGTGTTAGCCGATCGTGATTTCCAAGCCATTGAGGAAGCAAGAAATTTCATTTCTCGCCCTACTTCTTTGAGATCAGCTACATTGCAATCTCAGCCAAGGGGATCCCGCTCTCATCCTTCACCACCGCCTGGTTCTGTTCAGAGGATTGTGCACTGTGATGGTTCTTTTTGTGCAGAATCACGGGAGGCGGCTTATGGGATTACTATTGCTAATGCCCATGGTCAAGTGTTGGACGGCAAGGCTGAGAAAGTCTTCTGTTCCTATCCTATTCAAGCGGAAGCTTATGCAATTCTTAATGCTGTCTTGTGGGCATCTCAGGATGTTTGCCAGACGTGTATCAGGTCTGATTGTCAGATTCTGATCCTCGCCTTAAGGCTTACTCCTGATCGATGGCCTTGGCAATGTCGACCAATCTTGGCACGTATCATTTCTCTCCTCCAATTGGCTCCCTGGATCAAGGTGATGTTTATCCCCAGGCGTCTCAATGGTCTTGCTGATTGGGTGGCGAGGAATGAGCGTTTGGGATCTCTTCCTGCGGATTGGTTGACTGTTGCTGATCTTGTTTCTCCTTTGTTGTAAGAATGTACTTGGTTTCCGTTGATGGGTTAAGGAATAAAAGCAGTTCTATTCGTCAAAAAAAAAAAAAAAAAAAAAAACTGCGACTCCTAAATCCTAATGTCAACTTCTCGTGTAACTGTGTGCTGATGACATGTCCTGGTTCACCATTCCCCTTTTGTAAGTCGTAGAACTCATGTTGATTTGCATTATAGCCTCATTGGGTCATATTTTCTTGTGGTGTGCCGACAATGTCCTTTTGCCTTCCTTTACTGTCCCCATAACTGACATGTCTCACAGTCAACTTACCAAACTTAGAGCTATAAATCAAATGGTCCAAAACAAAGACAAGTCTCCTCCTTTTTGTCCTGCTCTAGTTTCCCTTTTGGTAACGAGGCTAGGGATGGCAATCAAACCCATGGCCGCGGGTACCCGATCGCCTCCGACCCAGTCAACGCAGGTAATCCCCGCTTTGACCGGGTATGGGTAAAACCCGCAAAAAGTTTGATGGGTATGGGGCGGGTATGGTTTTAGCCTCCCCCGCCCCATACCCATACCCATATCTGCCCCACCAAGAAAATTTCTTCACATATACAAAAATATATGGATAAAATTATAATCTATCAATGGTAATGAGGATACCTCGAGAAAATAAATAGTAGAAATGCAATTGAGTGACCACCTTAATAAAAACCTAATTCATTTATCTCAATTCTCCTTTCACTCTTTCACTTTCCCCCTTGTCAACAAGATTATGTTAGTTAATTATTACTTAGTAGATGTATCAGAGTTAGAACATAATAATTTGAAAAATATTATACTCTATATTATGTATTAATGAATGTTTTAGGATCATATTCTTTGAACCGTATTAAGAAAATGATCGCGTTTTGTTGAATTCGTGATATAATAGGTACGTTTAGAGTTGTAGTTAAAACTTTTCATGTAAATTTTAGGATAATAATGTTGGATGTACGGGTATGGGTATTACCCATGGGTACCCGAAACCCACGGGTATGGGGATGGGTTTGCTAAACATTCGCCCGCACGGGTATGGGGGTATGGGTTTGGATATTTGAAGATGGGATAGTTTAGCCAAACCCGCCCCAAACCCGCCCCATTGCCATCCCTAATGAGGCATCCCTTCCCTCCCATATCGGATTAGATTGACATTTGTCAACTTGCCCTGCAATTCTATTAATCTGCAGTTCAAGTTCTGATTTCAGTACAGTGTTTAATATGTAACAGCAGCATACAAAAAAGGGACACAATTAAGGCCCAGGCAAAGCAAAAAAAAACAGAGGACACTCTGGAGGTAAGTAGACAACAAGGTGAAAATTTTGTGGTTTAGTGGAAGTTGGCATTGGACTTGTAAGTCGACCCAGTATTCCAATTCGAAGGGGCAACATTCATCGCATAGATGATCTCCTTAGTCGAGTAGGACTGGACCCTGAAAGACAGCGACTGACCACCCAGGCTCGAGAACGCCTGGTACGAAGCCCCCCAGTTATGGCTCATGCTGATCCACCCTGTCCTGCTTCCTTTCACCCACATCTGAGCAATGTCGCCTCCTCCAGCCACGTTCATCACGTACACCAGCAGCCAGTAACCGTTGCCCTGGAACTGGAACCTGATCCCGCCTTTCGGGGCACAGGGCACCCTGCGGAACATGACGGGGATGATCCCTGCCTTCCAATTGGCGATCCTCATGAAGGCCGGCTTGGACATGTCGAAGTGGGATCTGGGAGGGTTGCACCACCCGCCGTTGTTGGAGTCCTGGGACCAGTTGGGAGGGCAGATGTTGGTGGCGGTCACGGTGATGAAGGGCGTGGAGCCGTAGGACGAGTAGCAGTGAGGTGAATTCGTGCATTTTATCTGGAAGCACGCACCGCAGGAGTAGCCGTTGTTGAACAGCGTCGTGCTGAGTGCCGCCGTGTTGGTTCCGTACCCGTTTTGGAACAAATTTCCGTACCCACAAGCTCCCCCTATTAACAAAAAAAAAAAAAATGCAAGTGGCAATTCGTTAGAATGTGTCACAAAAAACAACTTTATGAAAAATGAGAGTGCACAATGTGAGTCTATATATACGTACCCATGGTTGCGGAGGCGGTCTCGTCGCCGTAAAATGTGGCGTGGGCGAGGGACCATTTGCTCGGCCGGAAGACGGGCACACGTCTGACGGCGGAGGTGTAGCCAGCTGCGTCGATCGGGTGCGCGAAGACGAGACTAGATACTACTGTTGTTGCTAGTAGTAGGAAGAAGCCATGTATCTTTGTGTTCCATGTAGAAGCCATTTTTTTGTTTTTCTTCTTTGCTTAATTATGGCTGATTCAGAAGGGGATTTTGGTGGGTTTTGTGTACGATGTGTGGCTGGATTGATGATTCATTTGACAAAGGTACGCTGCCCTTAAATACTCTTCTATTGAGAGGTTTGATCGATCGGCTTCCCTTAATTTAATTCCTGCCCTACAAAAGAATGGCCTTCGGCAGTTCGGCTTCGTGGGGGGCACGAAAGGGTGGGTTGGCGGCAGGCTCCCTAAGTCAATTAATTCTTTTCCAATCTAATTACTAATTAATGATTATGAAAGAAAAGAAGGGTTGACAGGGAATGTTTTTAGATTTTTGGTGGTGGTTGTCGTGCAAGCAGGTTTTCATGCTACATTGACACGTTTATTTTTTGTTTTAATTTTATACAATGACATGTTTTCCACCAGTATTAGTGCTTCTAATGAAGTTTTTGTCACAAATACATTGAAATGAGATTAGTTAAATTGTTGCTAGCTAAAATATTGAAATGGCATAGGCAAATTACAAAATTAGTATTGACACACCAAAGCATAGCTGAAAATAGATTAGCTAGGTAAGATCTCCGATCCAATAAAAAAACGAAAAGGGTTTTGATCTAGTGGTAACCACTAATTTAGAACCTGAAGGTTTTAAGTTCTAATCTCTTAAGTAATACCTTAATTACAAAAAGATAAAAAAAACTATATCACCCTTATAAAAAAAATTCTAAATAAAATGAGTTAAACACTTACGGTATTCACTAAATAATGATGTTATACTTTGGTAGTAATAATTTTGTTACTTCAATGTCTTTGTTTACCCCTACACTACTTTTTTCCATGATTACCATGGTTATTTTGGGGTTTAAATAAGGAAATTAAAATTAGTGGAGGATGGATGTTGCTAAAATTGACTATTGCGAGATTTGGATATTGTTCCTTGGCATCGACCTGTCCAAATAGTGTCAACGATATGGTCAATACTATCATATTCATATGATCTCTACGTCAACATGTAGCATGCTTACACTAGTTAGTACTGTTGATATGACTTGAATCGGATTATCAGCCGCTACGACTGGTAATCGGGGGTCTCGCTGTATGGGATCAATGTTATTTGGGTTCGGGTTCTGGGCCTGGTCTGTAACCGTTTCCTTTGCCATATTGGATTAGGTTTAGACCCACATGGAGAAGTACTATAAATACTTCTCATACTCCTCTGTAATCTGTAATCTCCTCGATATAGTGAAATCAGCTCTCTCTCGCCCGTGGACGTAGCTAACACACATCGTGTTAGTGAACCACGTAAATCGTGTGTCGTGTTTTCGATTCTCGCTTTCGTATTCTTGCTTTGTCGATTCCGGCGATTTCCCGATCCGTAGCAGCGCGTTTATAACAAGTACTATGAGATGGCCAAAACAAAATCGTGTCACATGACCGATATTGTAAAATCAATTTATATCCGCACTCTTTTAGTTGTGTAAAATGGTCAAAGCATATATAATGTAATATTGGTTAAGCAGTTATCAGAATTTTATAACACGACCATGATGCATAGATGAAGATTCAAGATAAAAAAGTAATTGCGTAAAATATTTACATTAATATTATTGTATAATATGATCGAGGATCTTATATTCAAATCCAAATTTGTATGTATGATACATCCAAGGTATCCGGCGTTGTAAATTAGAAACTAGTTAATTGAGTGGTACCTTGGCATACATTTGTTGGAGCGCTTAGTGGAGATGTTGAAAGTTGAAATTCCACACACGTTGAGATTCTGGAGATTATATGGATCCTTCAGTTCATTCCCTAGTCCCTAGATACGATATGGCTAATTATCCGTTCCCCTCGAAACATATATGAATATTGGAGAGAGGGAAAATAAAGAATCTTCATCTGAAGCAAAACAGATTAGGTATCGGACCAAAACAAAAGCAATTATGTGTACGCACGTTTACTAATAGCATTAGAAATGGATGGCCATAATTTTGTAGTATAGCCATAATTTTATAGTATCTTATGTCGGCCGATATATTATAGATTTTCATACATTTCACTATTTGGAGGAAGAGGGTTGATTCCCAAAATATTGTTATTTTTTTAATTTACCATCATATCGGTTTTAAAATTATTGACACATATATTGTGTTTTATGCAGGGAAAACAGCGAGTCCGCCCGAGATTCAGGCTAAGACGCTTTTTAAGATTTTTAGTTCAAATTGAGCGCACCCGCCCAAGTCTAAGGCGAGTATACTAAAACAAAAGTGGGGGCGCTTAACACACAGGCGGACGCGCCTCCCCTCGCTTTTTTACTTTCCCCGATATCTTTCTTACCTTATCTTCTTCCTCTCCAAACCAACCACCACCACCGCATCTCCTTCCGCCTTCCAGCAGTGGACCCGCCCCGGCCCCAAGCGTCGACGCAGGACAGAAAGGCGGCTTTTCCACGACCTCAAGCAGACCCTCCAGTGACAGTGGTGGCATCGCCTCAGTCTCAAGCGAAGGTGTCGTCTGTCTTTCTTCTTCCCTCGCGCGCGCCTCCCAGCAGCAGCAGATATGGTTGGTTTTGGTTTGGGGAGAAGATGTCCGACACCGGCGAGGAAGCGGTCGCCGGCAGAGGAAGGGAGAGAGGGCGGCGAGTTCGTGGCGGCGGCGGGCAGTACCGAGGTGAGGATCTCGCCGGCGTCGGCGAGTTTTATTTTGTTTTGCTAATTTGTTTCATTTCCTAGGCTTATGGACAGTTCTTCCATGAGACCACCACCTACGACAATTGATCCAGATCTGGTCGATTCAATACTTCTTTGGGACACTGTCAACATCATGTCGACTCAGTTTGGGCAAACGAGGTAAGTCTTTCATAACAACTACTTCTTTAAAGTTCATTAGCTAGTTAGATTAGACTATTATAGATTTTTACTAGGTGAAATAAACTGAAATTAGAATGGAATTACGTATGCAATTTTTTGAAATTAGCATAAGTTTAGACTAGATAGATTTTACTAAATGAAATTTGAATTACACATGAAATTGAATTAATATAAGTTTTGTGCACTATAGGATGGTGATCGACGTTATCATGTTCGAGGTATGACCAATTTAGTCACGTACCATCAACATTATCTGACGTACCTCGTCGAGGCGGGCTTCTCTAGTGTTCTGCCCCTGGTCCCTATGACCGCTGATGCAAGTTTGATTATTGCGCTCGTAGAGCGTTGGCGACCTGAGACATCGACCTTCCACTTGCCATTTGGTGAGGTTACTGTCACTTTAGAGAACGTTGTGACACTGACCGATCTAGTGATCGATAGTGATGTCGTCGTAGTAGACAGACCAGATGAGGAGTGGTCGAAGATCTGTGTGAGACTATTAGGATATGCTCATAATGATCTTTCCGGCGGTGTCGTTAGGATTAGTTGGCTCAGGGAACAATTCAATAATCTATCGGCACATGCATCACTAGAGACTACAGAGCAGTTTGCACGAGCTTATGCTCTATCTATAATGGAAGGTGTATTGTTCCCCGATCGGAGTGGAGCTATAGTTCATCTACAATACCTACTCTTGGTGGAGGATTGGCAGAGAGTCGGATGGTTCGCTTGGGGAGAAGGTGTATTAGCCTACATGTACCCTGAGATGGGTAGGTCGGTTTTGCACATGACACAGTCCTCTTCCCTAGGAGGTGACCTTAGTGGATGGGTCCCCTTATTACAGCTCTAGGCGTGGGAGCAATTTTCACATAGGTCACCACGACATACAGAGACGAGGGGGAAGATTACCGAGAACACATTCCCACGTGGTGTTTGATGGCTTCCGTCCAACACCTGTCAACACGGTGACCAGTTCTATCAGTACAAGTTGTGGTTTGACGAGATGAAGACCATGGTGGTTAGTATATAACATTTCGTTTTAAAGAATAGTTTTCATTGGTTTGTTTTAGATTTAGGAGTAATCATGTGACCACTTTTTATGTGTAGTGGCGTCCTTACGTTTAGAGAGCTCTGAACCTCAGAGGTAGTATGATCCAGTCTGAGACGTTTCGAGCAGTAGTTCCACTGATATGTTTTTTAGCTGTGATGTGGCACCATCCAGACCGTGTGCTCCGACAGTTTGGCATGCTGCAGGATGAGCCACATCCGCCATAGAATGAGGCTGAGGTTAGGTTTTTCCTTCACTAGCCCCATCATGGGCCACTGGGTGGGCAGCAGTTGGTACTCGCCTCCAAAGTGTCGCTTGATTTGTAGAGCCGTCAACATGAGTTCATAGCGACTATGCCATACAATGAGGTTAATTTAGCCTACCACTCGGAGCATATGGAGTGGTATCGAGATGTTATCAGAAGTTTAGGCACACGGAGATGAGCTGCAGTGGAGGCAGCGGTCAGATATTGATTGTTTCATATTTTCGTTTGATTTGTTTTGGAATTCGTAGTTGTGTGGAATCTCTGATATTTTAAATTTAATTGTCAGTACGACACCATGGAGTACGTTGAGCTGAGTTTACGTGATGGAGTATGGGCTGGAGGGATGTCCACCTACCAGATGATGGAGTTGGCTAACATGATGGCAGCAGGGGTTGTTGCTTTAGGTTTTGATGGGCGTCGACATCCGGATGAGACATTACCTGTACAGCAGAATCCTGCTGAGCACAACCTTGCTAGGTGGCTGGAGCGTACAGATCCGGCACCGGACTGGGGCGTGCCAGAGCCACAGTTCAGGCGGAGCCCAGGAGGCATAGACAACGACGTAAGCATCACGACGTACTAACCCATTGAGGATTTCAGATCGTCAGCAAGCACAACCCGTCCGGCCTACTATGACGTTCCACTTCCAGTTGTAGTTTCAGCTGGACACTTCTTTTGGATTTCAGGAAGGCACTTCTTCTGGATTTCAGGCAGGGCCCTCTTCAGCATTTCATGAGTCTTCTCAGCCGCAGTTTCAGCCAGAGACTTCTCGGGAATTTCAACCACCAGTGGATAGCTTTCATACACCGCCGCAACATGCTATGATGGTAGGCGGATACAAGGCCTCAGGTAGTGATACTAGAGCAGCCTTAGGATAGAGAGACACGCTAGATGGGGATGCTACTTTATGGAATCGATGTGGTCTTATGACCAGCAGCTTCGGGCGCAGGGGTTTGGTAGCGGTGCACTAGATGAGCATCCCCAGTCTCAGGTGGATGGTTTGTTCGGTACATAGGATCAGGATGATACAATGGAGGGAGATCAGCCCCGGCACGCAGAGGATAGGCCTCAATAGAACAGGCAGGCACCGAGCTGTGGTACTGGCGGCTATCTAGTGGCTCAACGTGGTGGTCGTTAGTGAGACTATTATGTATTATGTTATTATTATGTAGTTCTATGGTTATTATGTATCATTGTGGACGGTTTCTCATTTCATTATGTATTATGTTACTATTATGTATCATTGTGGACTATTTCTTATAACATCGACGCCCACCATTATAGTTATCATGTGCTAACCTCTAACGAAGTTGATTTTGGTCCACCTAGTTATCACAAGAAATATTTTTATCAGCGGCCATCTTCTTAAATTGCTCAACTTGACGATCGAACTTCTCCAAGCGTTTTTCTCTGGCTAACACAATAAATAACCATGAGTTAGATATATCTATAATAAAATTAAATTAAAATAAATAATACATAATTATAAATAACTGTAACAATGAAGGATTACCAACTCGAAAAAAGTTTATTATACATAATCCTGCTTTCAGTCTTCCTTTGCAAGTTGCTTGCATAGTGCCACATGCACCACCTGTCCACCTTCACTCTCAACCTCTTCCGATGTCACTCATGGCTTCATAGAGTCCTGCATGTCTATCTAAGATGATGCATACATCATTTCTATCGGTCAAACCTTGAACGTGTCTTATGAACCATGGCCAACTATCAGTATTCTCGCTCTCCACTATGACAAATGCAATTAGAAAAATCTTCTTCCGGTCATCAAATGAGCTTGGCATGAGTAGCACTACTTTATACTTTCAATGGTTTTTGCATGGAAAATTTAACGAAGGATATATTTGAGAATTTATCATAGAGGGCCAATTTTAATGTGAAATATAGTAGAGGGGCATATTTGAGAAAAATGTATAGTAGAAGAGCATATTATACCTATAACCCTTAAATTAAAGCACGAGAGTCTAACACTCTTTTTATTTATCCTATGGATTATTGGATTTTTATTGGTCAAATAATTCATCCATAGTTGTTCTGTTTTTTATTTTTTATTTATTAAATTTAGTTAAAATTTTGAGGCCACATTTTATTTCATAACATGATCTCTAGCATTATGCGAATATCATTTTTGGGTGTAATGATGAAATGCTCCACTAGAGACTACACTTTTTCCTAATTTTGTTCCAAGTCATGATTCTCAACTAATACAAGTTTGGTGTAGATTATCACGATGATTTTGTTGAACCTGGTTGAAGTGCTCTATCATTACTCAGTTAACCGTTTAGAGCACATATCTTAAGTAGACGGTAGAGGGGCGCCAAAGCCGAATTCCTTTGACCGCTACTGCGTTACTTGATTACACTTGCAGCAAACAAAAGCTCAGAACTCTTTTTTTTTTCTTCTTTCTTACTAGGGTTGAAGAAATGAAGAATGAGAAAGAATGAATTGCCATGTGGCAGATCTTTTTCTGCGTCCTAGGGCAGAGAATCAATCAAAGAGCTCTTGAGCTGGCCAAAATGATGTTTTTCTGTTTTTTGGTAGTTTTTTTGAAAATTGCAGTTTCACATTTCCCTCCACACATCCCTTATCCTCTTGCGTATCTCTCTTTGTTTCCATTCTACCTCACCTTTCTTTTCTTTCCGAGAAGAATGAGACGCAAGATCAAAATGAACCCCATTAACACAATCCTTAAACCAGCCCCCAGCTTCATTAAAGCAGAGTAATTTTATTTTTGTTTTTACTATGGCTACCAAATTGGCCTTCAGTTTGTCATCTCCTCGATTCTCCACTGCTCCCATAAGCAGGCCTTTCATTTCTCCATGTTCTTCCAAGGTTCAGCCGATCAGTGGAAGAAGACATGCTTGCCTCCGGAGAAGGATTTTCTTGGTTCCCGTCAAGGCTACTGCCGATCAGCAAGGTTTGGTTTTTTCTTTTTCCCCATGAAAAGATTCCACATCAGTTAATCTCCCAAATGAACCTTCTGATTTGGTTGCGGTGATAAAGATCGATGCTTTATCAGTTTGGGTTGAAGTAATTCTCAGTTTTCATCTGATTGCTTGAGTGATAGGGTGATTAGTGGGAATATTAGCCATCACTTTGGAATTGATGGACACAATTTGGTCCTTCGTTGAGTTGGAAGTCATTAGGATTATGGATTGCCTTTGTCATGATATTGATTCATGGAATTAGCACAATTTTCTCCCTTTTGGGTTGATTGAATGATTGATGTTGCCCTGAAACTAATTGAAGATAGTTTTCATTGCCATCTCTAGTTGGTCAGTCAAATCCTGAGAACTGGTTGCTTAGAAGAATTCCATGTCCTTCAATTTGAGGTCTTTTTGTTTAGCCTTCGTGTCTCGTTTTTATTCTTCTCCTTCCCGAGCAATTCCTGAGCAAAGATCAAAACTTCTTCAAATTTGCAGGTCAGGTGCAAGAAGATGATGTAGTGGACAGCAAGATTCTGAACTACTGCAGCATAGAAAATAAGGACAAGAAGTCATTGGGAGAAATGGAGCAGGATTTTCTTCAAGCACTACAGGTACATTTCTTCTCACCCTAATTGCTTCTCTAGTTTTCATGATTCCATCAAATGAAGAGATGAACATTGAATTGGAGGACAAAAATTATGTGTCTTTCTTGCAGTCATTTTACTACGAAGGAAAAGCGATAATGTCTAACGAGGAATTCGACAATCTCAAGGAAGAACTGATGTGGGAAGGAAGCAGTGTTGTTATGCTATGTAGGTGAACTGACATCTTGTGATGATGTCTTTGTACCATTTGGCTCAAATTCCTTCTATTCTTATCTGAATTTTTTTGTCATTTTTGCAGCTGCTGATGAGCAGAGGTTCTTGGAAGCTTCGATGGCATATGTAGCTGGGAACCCAATTCTGAGCGACAAAGAATTCGATGACCTAAAACTGAAGTTGAAGGTTTGTACTATGATGCATTATGTGTGAAGTTACATTGTATGCACTCTTGGTACCCCTTGAAAATGGGCCGATCAGTGTACTTAATAATCAATCCCTGTTACTGATGATACATAATGCTAAATTGTCCAACTAACATCTTCTGAAAGAAGCATTGCTTTTGGTTCTCTCATGTTCTTATTTGTGCCGTTTCCAGACAGAAGGCAGTGACATTGTAGTTGAAGGTCCAAGATGCAGTCTTCGCAGCAGGAAGGTGTGCATTTCGCCTGGTTCATCTCCATTCTGCCCTTAATTCTACTACTACTTAGCGAATATGCTCAAATCTCTACTGCAGGTCTATAGTGACCTCAATGTGGACTACCTCAAGATGTTACTTCTGAATGTTCCGGCCACTGTTGTTGCACTTGGCTTGTAAGTCTGCTAAGCAACTCACTAAAATTTGTAGCACGAATCTACATTGTACATGCGACAGTCTTATAGCTAGAAATCTGGACCTGGAGAAATTCACCCTGAAACAACCTGGTTTCATCAGTGATTCCGGTTTTTGTTACCTGCAGGTTTTTCTTCTTGGATGATGTGACTGGCTTTGAGATCACATACCTTCTGGAAGTAAACAACTTTCCCTTTTTCTCTCGAGTTCCTTTCATAATCTTCCAAACATATTTGTTTTGGTTCTAACTTCCCGTCAAACTTCTGGTGAGCTGTACAGCTTCCGGAGCCATTCAGTTTCATCTTCACTTGGTTTGCTGCGGTCCCTCTCATAGTCTGGGGAGCTCTAACGCTTACAAACGCAATCCTCAAGGATTTTATCATCCTCAAGGTGCGTATATGACATGTCCAACTTGCTCTACATCTCATACTAAACTCCTCTCCCGCTCCGAATCCTAATGCAATGACATCCATCCTCCAAACATCTCTCTGTCAGGGCCCGTGCCCAAACTGTGGCACTGAGAATGTCTCTTTCTTTGGAACCATACTCTCCATTTCCAATGGCGGCACTACCAACAACCTCAAATGCTCCAAGTAAGCTCTCTTGACTCACTCATCATCAAACAGCTAAAAACCCCATTTTAGTACTTACAACACAGCTGCAAGTCTGCCTCAACTGATATGCTTGCGCTTTTGCTCGCATTCTGCAACAGTTGTGGGACTGAACTGATCTACGATGCCAAATCGCGGCTGATCACTCTGCCAGATTGAAGCCTGGTTTTAGATGGTTAATGGTAAATAATATGCACTCTTCTTCTAGGCCCTGTCTCTTCATCCATTCTACTGTACTGGCGAGACCGATGTATCGATATTGCTTGTAGGACAATGGATGGTGTGAAGTCTAGGGTGGAGAATTTTGAAGCGACAGGAAGTGGAAATGGAAACTGAATTTAAGAATGGGAAAATAGGTTGTATAGTGAGGCCTGAGGGGATGTGTTAAGAGGTTTTTGTTGCCCAAATGGATTCGATTAATAATGAAGAAGTCGACTTCACTGTCTATAATGGTACTTCATAAAGGCTGTACCTTTGTAGATTTTCCTAAATACCCATCTATGAGCTATAGGCCCTCATACATATATACGCTAGGTAAGGTCAGTTTTTGCTGGCCTCTCTGATCATTTGCCGGTGTTAATCATTTTGCCAAGGTTAGCATGAATGGTAACTTGAACAAATGGATATAGTAACTTGAAACAGAGAAATGGAGGTTATCAGTTACACGTAGTAAGACGTATAGACAACGACCATATATTCCAGTAACATTCAAGGTTCAGAAATGACCTGCAATCATCATCTAAAGTGCCTGGTGGAAGGGTGAAGGTCACTAAATTAGTTGGAGTCGATCGGATTAGGATTAGGAGCGGCAATAGGGCAAGTTCATAGTGGTATCTCGATACCCATGCCCACCTCTTAACAGGTTGGATAATTTATTACGAGGTGCTAGTCGGGGCAAGCCTGACCTATCTGAGTATGTAATTTAAAAGAAAAATATTAGTAATATGATTAAGGTCTTGTGTTGTGGAATTGCGATGTGGTTGCTCTGTTCTTAGGATCTGATACGCAGGGGAAGGATTCTGATCGTGAAAGTAAAATCCAAGAGAGATTACAATTTGGTTTTAGTGTTGATTTTAATCGAGCGCGAAACTCCGGACCACTTATTCCCGTTTTGGAAGCGGACATGGTGGGAGTACACTTCCGCACTAGTTTATGCATCTATGTAACCCTTAAAAAACGGCACGGGTATAGGTGTATCAAAATACACGTTTTTCGTGCCCACCCCTAAGTCGAAATTGTTATCGTGAATCGAATATATTTGTTTTTATCTTTTTTGTTTTCCCTAATGGACTTACGGGCTTTGTAAGGAATAATACGGGCTCTGCATCAAATGGACTTGTGTTGGTTTATACATGAGCTTTGTATGGAACGAGCACGTCGGGTGGTCGGGCTCAGAATAAGGTCGTGGGCTTGCCTCAACTTACTGCACCATTTCGGAGGAATCAAGGTTCGGAAAATCCAACACACAAAGTTCACTGATTCCAACCGATGAATTCTCCGTCGTTTAGATGAGGAATTTAAATGACTAAATGAGAGATTTCAGCATAATTTTTTATTGTGCAAAATTTTAATTAAATAACTCGTTTGGTAAAATGAGATATTTTAATATTAGAGATTTAAAGAACTTACAAGTGAGGGTTTTAAAATAGCTTATCAACATTAGCTATTTCGAAATCACTCATTGTCTTGTTCCTCCTCCACAATTTTGTCCCTTACAATTTTATTTTATTCCAAATCATACATACAAATCCAATCCTTCTTCTTCCCCTTTGTCTCGATACCTCACTCCTGACCGCCTTACTCGCTTCAAGATCGGACGACCACCGACTGAATCCGAACATAATCAACTCCTCCAAGATCAACAGGCGAGGACGGCGACCTCCGACGCCTAGGGGAAACTCATGAGAGTCGAATTCCAAATCATATGATAAAACCACGATCAACTATAACGAAAACCACATTGAACTCATAATCTCATATTAACATAATATGTTTCACCAACCACACCCATAATTGGGAGATGTGTGTATATAAGGGGTGACATCTCTCTTTCTCAAATACCCCTTTGTCCAAATCTCCTAAGCTTCAGAGGTGGTTTGATTCGTGGATTTGTATGATGAATTTGGTATGAAAATCCTTAAGGGAAATTCATTGTTCGCTTGCACTTTTTCTAGGGACCAAATCTGTGAGGCTCACGGAATTTCAAAGGTCCAAATTCGTGAACCTCACGGACTTATAAATCCCACATATTGATGTGAGATTTGAAACAAGCCATAAATCTATGATAAAATTTTACCCATATACCCTCATGAACTTTTAATATTCCAAGGTTGCCCTCACACCTATTGTATATTAATACTAATCAATTACGGGAAGTACATGGACAAGGCCGAGGAGTATCTCCGCTAGTACAGCGGCTACAAGCCTGCTGATGTAGCTGTGTCTACGGCTCCTCCGGATGATAAGCCAGCGGAGGAGGCCTACCGGTAGACACCATGGGCCTTTTAGAACCACTAGTTGGGCCTTCAGTACTTGGTTTTTCATGTGTCAACAGTCAGAGTTGGGCCTAGTTGCTTGTGGGCCGATGTTATCGGCCTGTTTGCCTTGTGTCCTATATGTTTGTTGTTTCGCAGGTTGTTTTGCGGGTCTAGCATTTCCTACAGCTTCTATAGCGCGCCTAGTGGCTACGTCAATCATTGCATTATACGTGGAGCTGGAGATGGCAGTTTATACGATAGGCATTAGCAATTAAGGCTGGGCAACCGGTTCGGTAAACTCGAACCGAATTAAATCGAACCGAAACCGAATTAATGTTATTCGGTTCAGAATTCGAAAGGAAAATATGAATAGTTCAGAAACCAGGGTTCTTTCAACCGAATCGAATTTCCAACCGAAATACTATAATTGCAAGCTCCAAATGGTGGATCTTTAAGTTTGTAGTTGTTTTTAGACTTAAATATTTGAAATATTTTATGACTTATGTGTTGAAAAGTTTGATTTTATCATTGATAATGCATATAATTGCATATTTATTGTTTATGTTAGGGGTAAAAAATAATTTAAAAGTGAAAAGATACAAGTAGCTTAACAAATTCGGTTTTGTGTGAAAAACCGAATCGAACCGAATTATAATTCGGTTCGAATTCGGTTTGGGAGAATTTGGGGACCCGGTATTCATAATTTCGGTTCGATCGAAACCGAACCGACCGAATGCCCACCCCTATTAGCAATGCTGGCTTTTGGCGAGTGAAGTTGCTTATATGCAGCGGGAGTCGTCCTACCAGATCTATAAGTATTTGCTTTTCTGCTTCAATTTTCAACATGGTTAGTTCATGATTTTGATCCATTAAGGGAAGAAATCATGATATTGTCCATGTCGTTCAAGTATCATAAGGTTGCTCATATCATGGTAGTAAACCCTATTATTGTCAAACATGCAAAGGTCTTTTCTTTATTTGTGATTTGGCCTGCAAAGGTCGTGTATATTGTTATACTTCGTATCTGCTTTTCCTATTTTGGGAATATCTATGGAAAGAAGATAATGACTATGACTCGCTATGACACAACTTCTGACAAAGGCGGCCAAGTGTAACCAATGAAAGGGATTGCAGTATAGTGGCTCAAGTAATAAATATCGAATCCAAGGGTCTCTAGAGTTACAATTACTCAGCTTCAGTTCATTATCTAGCAAACCAGATTAAGATGGAAGAACTAAAACTACTCTAGCAAACTACAGTTAAAGTTAATCTAATTACAGGTTGGGAACTCACTTAGGTATGATTCCCTATAGCCACTAGCCAGATTAATGATTGATGATTTCTAACCTGTTTCACTTTCATTCACAATGCGGAGAATCCTTGACTAGACCTTGAATCTTGACTAAAGGATTTAGGCCCTCTTGAGTCGATTGCCTAGAGGGACGTATCCTTCTCTAGAAGAACCGATCAAGGCGCTCTGAACTAGACTCCCTCTATCGAATGAGGTTCTCAATCGATACAAAGCAGTGAATCGATCTTCGACTAAACCAATCGATCCAATACTATCAATCTATGGTGCTCTATTGACCTAATCAGGTATTCACTCTCATAGGATCAAAGCAGAATCAATAATCTCGACTAAAGCAGAATTGAATCATGAAAACATGCATAGATTGAATATGAACTCAAGATTATCAAGTAGGAGTACTCATACAATCATCCAATCAAACAAACATTGCTAGGGTTTCTCAAAACCTAAGTGAATGGAAGTTACTCCATAGAGAAGAGAGAGACTGCAGTAAGAATCTTCAGATAATCAGTCTTCAAGTATGGGCTTGTTCCTCGAGCTTCCAAGGCGACGAAATCCTCCAATTCCACTCCAAGATTGCCCTCAAATCGCCCTCTCTCTCTTTAGTTCGTCCCTTGGGTGTTTGGGATCCAAAACCCAGCTCTCCCCCTCAAAAAACGCACAAAACAGCAACCTGCATTCGCGACCCGGTCGGGTATTTTGGGTACCCAGCCGGGTATTTTTGGTTCACGACCGGGGGGCCTTCTGATGCTGTCAAAAATACCCTATCATATGGTCAAAATACCCGGTCGGGCATTTTGGTCGGGTATTTTGCAGTTCCGGGTCCCCTATCTTTGATTCTTCGTTTCTCCCTCGTTCGGACTCAAAATCAGGTGTCGTTTGATCCCAGGCGCTCGTAGTCTCGTCCTCTTTCTTCTCATGACAAGCTTACATGATTCTATGGTCACAAACTGAGGTAGATATCCATTCTTCTTCAAGTCATACCCGAGTTTATTCCCCCAAGTCGCCAATTGATCTCCAATTGACTTGAAACTTGTGCCTACACTTCACTTTATGTGCTAGAACCTGAAATGTGACAAAGGAACAAAACCTAGCGTAAAATAGGACAAAGAAGGGATAATGCAAGCTTAAACGATCAAGAAACAAAGGGGAAAACATGTGCAAATATCAAGTCATCAGACTATTTATTAACCAAACCTTTTTCTGATTCTTTTTTATCAGCCAAACCTATAGAAATACTAAAAATTAGCCAAATGTTAACTTCCAGTTAGTAATTTTGTTAATAATATTGACTTGACAACATGATACGGATTTGGAAGAGACACGTGAATGTCAATATTCCAAAAGTTTAGTATTTTAACTAAGAAAAGAGTTATAAAATTATTAACGAGAACGTAAAAATGGTTAATATTTTGATACATTATAAAAGATTTGGTTATTTAATAATATTTTAATAGATTTGAATAATATAAAAGAATCTTAGTATAAAAAATAAACATTAAAAAAACCTCTATGTTTCAACGAATCACAACTAGGGCTGTCAATTTGGTTTTGGTTTTTTCGGTTTTAATCGAAACCAAACCATTAAAAGGTTAACGGTTTTGGTTTTTTGGTTTTAAACCATTTAGCATATTAATGGTTTTGGTTTCGGTTAAAACCAAAAACTAATAAAAAACCAATAAATCGATAAGGACCCCTGATTTTTTGAAGGACCCTTGATTTCTTTGAAGTCAACCATGTTTTTGGTTTTTAGTTTATCGAAACCATTAAGAAGTTTATCGGTTTATGATTATCCAGAAACCGATAAGCCTCTTAAATGGTTTTGATTTTTGTGAATACGCCTAATTTGATTTTTGGTTTTCATGCTAATGGTTTGGTTTGGTTTTGGTTATCCAAATTGACAGCCCTAATCCCAGCCTCAGGTAAATGAGACTTTTTCCAGAAATACCACTGTTTAAAAAACGAATTCAAAAAATACCACCCAACTCCAAAAAATTTCAAAAATACCACCTTTTTAAAAAACCGCCACCCCATCCTGCGGTTTACACGAAAACGCTTGTCGGGGGCGCGGTATTCTACGCAAACCGCGGGGCTAAGGGGCGGTTATAAATTTTTTTTTTTGGGACCAAACCACTGGGTGGGGTGGCGGTTTGGCCCAAAACCGCCACCCCACCCAGCGGTTTGGTCCAAATTTTTTTTTTCCGATCAACTCCTAACTTCGTCCGAAATTTCAAACGAACGTAACTTTGCACTCGGGTATCCGATCGTAGCGATTTTTTTTTCATTTCGCATAACTTTTCAAGATCTACAACTTTTACAAGGATGAAATTTTCAAAACAGGAATTATTTGTGGATATACGGGACCTTGAGAATAACTTTATCTTTACTTTTCACAAATCCATGTACATTTTCAAAAAAAAAAAAAATTAATTCATGACGTTTGGATTTCGGAGCACAAAGTTATGGCCGCCCAAAGTTTGACGAAAGGCGAGACCCGACAGTTTGCGGCTTGCAAGATCTCAAAAAGTTTGCGGCCTCCATTTTTTGAATCCGAATAACTTTTTGAGATCTTTCAAGCCGCGAACAACCAGGTCCCGCCTTCGTCTTGAAAAAAACGTCATTTGCAACCCCGAACGAGTCTTTTTTTGATTTCGTCAAACTTTGGGCGGCCATAACTTTGTTCTCCCAAATCCGAATGTCATGAATTTTTTTTTGATTCCACATAACTTTTCAAGATCTACAACTTTTTACATAATCATAATTTCAAAATTGACATGGATTTGTGAAAAGTAAAGATAAAGTTATTCCCAAGGTCCCGTATATCCACAAATAATTCATGTTTTAAAAATTTCATCCTAGTAAAAGTTGTAGATCTTGAAAAGTTATGCGTAATGAAAAAAAAATCGCTACGATCGGATACTCGAGTGCAAATTTACGTTCGTTTGAAGTTTCGGCCGAAGTTAGTAGTTGATCGAAAAAAAAAAATTGGACCAAACCGTTGGGTGGGGTGGCGGTTTTAGGCCAAACCGCCACCCCCACCCAGCGGTTTGGTCCAATTTTTTTTTTATAACCGCCCCTTAGCCCCGCGGTTTTCGCCCCTGACAAGAGGTTTTCCGTTTTTGTGTAAACCGCAGGGTGGGGTGACGGTTTTTGAAAAGGGTGGTATTTTTGGAATTTTTTGGGGTTGGGTGGTATTTTTGGAATTTGTTTTTAAACAGTGGTACTTTTGGATTTTTTCCATGTAAATGGTCATCATTGTACTCTAGGGAATCGGACAAACAACTAGCGAACAGTAGCACTGAAGGTAAAGAGACGGGGAGAAAAGGAATTCCAAGTAGAACCGGAAAGCGACAATGGAGGGCGGCAGCAGCAGCGAACAACCGAAGAAGAAGAAGAGAGTAAGCAAAGACGACGTGATTGTCAAGTTGAAGGACGACGGCGACTTCGACAATCTCCGGCTAAAGATCATCCGGAAGCTCAAAGCCGATGTAAGAAACATTGTTCAGACACCTGCCCCGCGAAACCCTTCTGTCTGTTCTTCTTATTAACCGGTCTTCCGTTTCCCGTCTTTGTTTCCTTCGATTTGATAATTGAGCTTGCAATTTGTAAATTTTGAATTGTGGATGAATTTTCGGATATTCTTTCAGAGTGTTGTTCTGTTGGCATTGTCTGAACGTTTCCTTGGAATGTGAGATTTGGGGGAAATCAGTTTTGCTCATTTAGGGCATTGCTTCTATTAAGCTCTAAGGCCTTTTTGAAAATCAATCGAGGAGCGTTTTTTCCCCTTCTGTTTTTGAAGTAGAGAGAGGTGAATTGTTTTTCCATGGAGGTGATTGATCATGGGTGGGGAAAGTTCCTTATTCCATTCATTAACCTGGCTTCCATGTCACGATTTATTGCAGTGTTGCATCCTCAACTGCTTGATGGGCTCAGATTTTGAGGGGTTCTTGGGAAAAATTGCCGTGGTGCTTGATTGTTCTATGAAAGACTTAAGCCATTAGCGATAGAAAGAAAATGGCAACGTAGGGAAAGTCAGTAACTTTCAAAACGGGGCTATCAAAAGAATGAATCTTACTACAATAGTAATAACAGCATTTTGCTCAAAATTTGAAAAAGGAAAAGAACTGCTTAAGCGATTCTTTTGTGTGCGGGCTTTAGTACACCATCAACACTTTACCTGATGAAGAGTTCTATTGGCAGGAGGAATTCCGCAGTGGCATTATTTCCATTGTGAGGAAGTCAGCTGTTCTGAATGGTGATGGCGGTTCAAATATGAAGCCAAGACAGCTTTCTGATGCTATTTTTGATGAGGTTGGGTAAGTCTTCATTACATCTCTGGATGAACGATTTAAAGCTTTGGACTTATGTAACTGCTGACTGCTGAGAGATGAGAAGTCTGCTATACCTGACGATCACTATGGTTATGGAGATGTTTGTCACCTGTTTGATCAAGTTTTCAAAGTTGCTATAGAATTTCAGTTGGTTGGTTCCCCAATATTTTCTCGACTCAAGGCACACTGCAGAGTATCTTAAAGTTCAGAGGTGCAACTGATGTCTACTTTTTGTTTGTGATTTCTAGGAATACAATGATGACTATGGTTTCAGATAGCCTGTGGGGAATAATCAAATCAGACGACATGAGCAATGAAATTACCGAGACGGTACAATCCGTGTATGATAAATTGGCAGAGCCTGAAAAGAAGATAGAAGCCTCATTTGGTTCTCATGATGTAGCGTCTGTCCGAAATGAAGCTAGTATCATGAATGCAAAGCCTTGTGGTGTGGATGATGACTTTCCTGGTGATGAGTCTAATGAACCCTCAGGTTTCCTTCTGCCAGTTAATCATCAAAACAATGGTAAGATACTTGAGGATTCATCACCATCGATGTCTAGCGAAAGGCCTGTAGAAGTGGGAAATGGACGTCCCAACCATTCAGAGAATTCCCTCGGGGTACATGATGTTGATATGAGCATTCTAACTGGCTTTTCTGTGGAGAGAGAGTTGAATCAACCATGCGATGATAGTGACGAAGATCCTGACGTGCCTCCTGGTTTTGGTTGATGATCAGATCTGGTTTGTTTGCAATTCCTACTCTGAAGGCCCTCAACTAGAATGGTTGGTGGTGTTGAACTGTTGATTTACCAAATGATTGGCTGCACACCTCTGACCTATAATTTTCTAGAGAGTTGCAATTGATTTGGCATTGAAGATCATTTTCTAGGTGATTTTGGTTGAGGCTCCTTATGAGCTATGATGGTACTGATATCTAATCCATATTTATCTTGGTCTTATGAGCAAGTGGGCTAAGTTGATGAGGCTATCATGCTCATTTGTTTGCTGTATTGGTGATAGGGGAAATAAGAAGTCCACATGAGAATTATTTAGCAAGCATGAAAGCTGTCCTCTTCTGAAATTTCATTTTGTATTTAGGTCATGGTGCTAACATCATGCGATAATGTTGGGGGGGGGGGGGGGGGGGGTGTTACTTGAAGTAGCACAATCTAATGGAAGAGAAAATGTATATTTGTTTGAAACACTTCGCTGAGTATCTTTTGGTACTTTGTTGTCACAAGAGCTTATTTAATCAAGACATACTGTTATCACTTGTGAGTTCGGGTTTTGCTCCTTTGATCTCAGCTTTCCCTGTTAAGGCAAGCAAATTGCAAAAGGAAGGCTGATAGGTATTTGTCTCCCTTCTTTAAACTTTCCTTTCCTTTCCTTTCTTTCCTTGGCATTAGGGCATGGGTATTCTTGCATGAATGCTGCAGAAAATGTTCATTCAGAATTTCAGATGAAATGCTTCCCCTGCAAAAAAAAAAAAAAAAGGAAAAACATAAAAGAATAGGATAGCAAAGTTTGGTTATGAAATTTTCTAATTCTAAGTTCCACAAAATATAAGCATTCTTCTCGTGAAAAAACAACAGCAAGCATTCTTCTGTTATTTTAGTTGAAATCACTTATTAATTATACACAGAATCCTAGCTCTCTAAGAGGATGGATTCTCTCTCGTGTTAACTATAAAAAGCTTTGTTACTGCCTCTCTACATTGTTGTTTTTTTACCATGAAAAGGGATAAAAAGTACAAAGAACTGTTCTTTACTGGAGATTTTAGAACTTCCTGATAACTGTTCCAACTTTCAGCAAGAAATGGTTGGCTGCATGCCTGCAGTGTGTTATTCTTGATCAGTTGCATCCCTTCTTCAGCCGAACTGCACAGAGATGGGACTTCTGACACTGTGCTTAGCAGAAACCCATAACAGATATCCTTGAGCAAATTGTTGGTGTAATCTGGTTTCGTTGGTACGAATGAACGTCACAGCGTATTTCGCATTCTGGCCCACCTTTGTGAAGTGTAACTCTGAAGGCTTCACAGCTACTCGGACCCCGATTGGAGGAGTGATCTTCACATAATAGCTTGAATTCCCCTGACCAACATTTGTAACTGTTCTTATCAATGTCTGGGAGCGCCCTAGTGTTACCGAGAGTGAAGGGTAGTTGAGCTGTCCTCCAGGTATCTTTCTTTGCGTTTTGCATTTGATTGACATTCTTGTGATAATCCAAACTTGTTTATTTGTGTACCCTAAGCTACACAGGTACCCTATATATTCTGCAGGGTGGATGTCATAGATCAGACCGGGGTCATCTGCCTTCAATGGGTTAACATGGCCAGCTCCAATGGCAAAGAGGTCGGCAGGTTGATCATCTTGATCAATAATTGTGGTGCCTCTCCTGCTTTGGATATCGGCTGTTGTCATTATAGCAGATTTGATGGCAGCAGGTGACCAGGTTGGATGAGAGTGCTTGAGCAATGCTGCAATCCCACTCAGATGAGGGCATGACATAGATGTGCCAGACTCGATATTGAATCTCGGGTTCTTCATCTTGTTCGTCCCTCGGGATGGCCATGCTGCTAGGATGCTCACTCCAGGCCCCATAATGTCTGGTTTCAGAATTCCTCTGCACACCATCGTTGGCCCTCTTGATGAGAAAGAAGTTACAGCTGGAGCTGTCCTGTCTCCTAAGGTTGTTCCTTTGAATAAAATGGTTGCTCTTGCTTGCTTATTTGCCTTTATGTAAGCTTTAATCTTCTGCCCTGCTGCATAGCTGACATGTGTAGCAGGAAGAACATGAGGATCAGCTAACGTACTGAACCCATCCTGTTCTCCATTTGCAAGTATCAATGCTGCGCCGCCAGCATTTTTCACTTCCTTGCCTATGTCAAGTCTATCCACCAAACCTCTATCACACAGAACAACTTTGCCCTTCACATTCATCCCTACCAATGATCCTTTCCCACAGAATTCCGACAATGGCTTCTTGTTCATCCCTGCATAAACAAGTGGCAACGTCGTCGAGTGAAATTCCCTGGGTTGGAAAAGGGATTCACCTTCAAATGTCTTCCCATTTGCTAGCTTTGCAGTAGCCAGAACTTTTCTGTCTATGGTGCTTGCACCAACTGTTAAAACCCAAGGGGCTTCACTAGACAATGTGCTATATCCAGGCCCAGAATTTCCAGCTGCCATGCTCACAAATATCCCCTTCTTTGCTGCTGCTAATGCCCCCACCGTGATACCATCTTTATATAGTTGAACTCCAGGGTCTGCTCCTAGGGAGATTGAGATAATATCGACCCCATCATGAATCGCTGCATCCATCCCTGCAAGTATATCACTCTCAATACAGTTATGTGAGCAGACTTTGTAAATGGCTAGATGGGCACCAGGTGCCATTCCTGCTGCTGTACCCTTGGCATTCCCAAACACATTAGCATTGCTCACAAAGCCACCAGCTGCTGTGCTTGCCGTGTGAGTGCCATGTCCATCTCGATCAATCGGTGTTTCAGGTTTGCCTCCCTTCTTCCTAGCCTTAGCTCCAAGGTTGAAAGTTCTTGCACCAATCAGTTTGTTGTTGCAGTGTGATAGTTTGAACTCACACTTCCCTTTCCATTTGGATGGAGGCGGCGACATCCCTTTGCCAGTGAAGGAAGGATGAGCGGGAGAAACTCCTGTGTCCAGCACTCCAATTATAATCCCACTTCCATAATTGGTTCGGTTCCATAGCCCTGGTTTTAAGTCCAGACCCAAGAAACGAGCGCTGTGGGTTGTCTGTAGATGAAATGTCATCTCAGGACGTGCTGACACGAATCCTTCTTTAAGTTCCATGGCTGCCAATTCTTCCTTTGTTAGCCTTGCAGAAAATCCGCTGATCACATCTATGTATGAGTAAAGCAGACGACTTTGATGATGACCATCCCCTGACCTCGATGTGCTGACGACAGGTACAAATGTTTGGTGCCAAGCCTTCAGATCTTCTACCCCACCATAAGTTGTGCCATCTGTTTGCTTGACATGAACAATGTAAGTCTCCAAATCAGTTTCAAGATTTTCTGCTATGTCGTGAGTCACTTGAGCAATAATCTGAGGAAGGATGTTGATCAAGAAAATGATATAGAGTGAGAGGACAGACATGGTTGTGTAACAGAGCTTGTTTTGGTCCCTCAGTTTGTTTTCAGGACTGACATATAAGTATGGCAAAGAGTCAGTTGCGTACGTTCAATGCATGTGATTTTTGTCCTTTTGGTAGAGTGGATGGAGGAATTATTGAGGCAATAGAGCCTTGTCCTGGTGGGAACTTCTACAGTCATTGATTCGACTTATGCTGTAGATTAAACCAGTTGCTTCAATGCTCTTGCTGCTTTGTGAATATGACAAAGTAGTTAAAGAGAGTCCTGTTGTACTTTCTAGCCTTTTAACTTCTTAGGGTTGTCCGCAAGACCGCAACAACTAAGAGGTTTGGAATCGTTGGAGGAACATACACGGACAGGCTACATTTTTATTGCTTCCTAAAGAGTTTTGCAGTTGCTACATTTCATTTCTTTAAGGGTTATAGGTATAATATGCCCCTCTACTGTGACGTTTTATCAAACATGCCCCTTTACTATTTTTTTATATCAAACATGCCCCTGTAATTTGGAAAAACAATCAAACATACCCTTCAGTTGAAATTTCCATCGAAAAAATCGTCAATCATGATTGAACTGAGATTTAGACGACCTGACATCGATAAATGGGAGGGGAAATGTCAGTTTTGACCCTTGTTTTATTTCTCTAGGTCTCATCAAAGTGAAATTGCTAGAATTATTTGACTATACAAAAGAACAAAAAAAAAAACTTTAAAGTGAAATTATTAGGGATATTTTAGATATTTGGGTCGTCCAAACCAAAGTTCGGTCTTGGTTAACAGTTTTTGGATGGAAATTTTAACAAAAGGGCATATTTGATAAGTTTTCCAAAGTAGAGAGGCATGTTTGATGTAAAAAATAGTAGAGGGGCATATTTGATAAAACGTCATAGTAGAGGGGCATATTATACCTATAACCCTTTCTTTAATAAGAAGGCTACATAATAGACACTTAGAAGGCATTGTTGTATGCGTACAATTTGAGAACCTTTAAGCAGAAACAAAATGCCAAGTGTCCATTTTTCTTTTTACATTAGCTTTTCTTGCATCGAAAACCATGAATCAAGGATGAATTATGATGAAACGTAAGTGTGGTAAATATGATAATTCAACATGATAAAAAAAAAAAAAAGCATTCTGCATTTGATCAAATTACATCTCTAACTAATTGAACCATTGATGGGTTGTATGGAAATGTATGGAAATTCTGAATCTGGGAGCTCGTTTGGTATTTGCGATTGTTAGAATTGATGTATTGTCTAAATGCATGTATTATAAGATTACATTGTTTTTAGTTGTGATTGTAATTTTAGTAATAAAATGAGAAAGTTACTTTTTATGTGAAAGGTCATGTTTACCCTTCCTTTTACATAGAAGAGTAAAAATACATAAAAGTTAATAAGGATATAAAGAGAAAGAAAAATGGAAGAACAATCTCAAAACACAATCTCAACAATCTCACCAAATTGTTGAGATTGTATATCATTCATATTGAATGATTTCAAGTGTCACATCATCAATCAAATGCATGAATTGTTTTTTATTTTGACACAAAAAATAAAAACGATGTATTCTATACAAAACATGCATTCATTAAATGCATCGATTAGATACGCATATACCAAACGACCCCTTCAGAAAAAGTAAAACAGCTTAACAAAGTCTGTCCATTTTACTTTAGTTAAGACTGGATCAGCTTTAGGGGTAAGCAACGGGAAACGGGTATTTGGGTATACCCAAACTCGTCCCGTTTTTTTAGAGTTATGGGTACCCAAATATACGTTATATTCATTGCGGGATGGAACTTGGGATTATGAATTTCAATATCAGGTACCCGCGAGTTACCCACTAATATCCGTTTAGTTAATATGGGTACCCGTATTATCCAGAGCACTTCTACTATGCTATATAGCATTGGTGCTTTAATGTACAACTTGAAGTTGTACCATAACATAAATGTATAAGTTTAGGTTGTACCATAAAGGAATTTGTATTATTATGTTAAGGTACAACTTTACAACTTGAAGTTGTACCATCACATAATGTACAAGTTTAAGTTGTACCATAAAAGAATTTGTACAAAAAGTATAGGTACAATATGAAGTTGTACCATAACGTTAAAGGTACAATTTCAAGTTGTACCATAAAGAAAAAACTTATAGCACCAATGCTATATAGCATTGTAAAATTCCTCGTATTATCCATTAGGATTTATTCAATTGGCCCAAATATGATTATGAAAGACTGAACATACATACTATTATTACTATATGACTAGATAGCATCAATATGATTTCTAGCTTAACTGCTCATTTATTCTCATCGATTGGTTGAATGATGATTTGGTGGGATTTTGTTATTATGGGGACAGTGGGTTATGGGGAGTGGATTTTGTTATTATGCTCATCCATTCAATTAAGGTCTTATGATAATTGCAGATATGGGCAGTGGTTATTATGGGCAACAGCTTATGGTATTAGTAGCTCAAACTTTATTATTTTGTTGTTCAAACTTAGTTACAGTAGCTTAATTTTATTATTTTGTTCAAACTTCATTTTCAAGGACAAGGAGTATGGGGATAATATGTCATTTTATTTCAAGTATAATTTTATTATTTTGTTCCATGTATACTTTTGTAATCGACTAATTGTTCCCATGTTGCTCAACTCTTTTTGTTCTGGCTGTCGACACTTCCCTGTCCTTTGGTTATGTTTTTTGCACCTGTATTGTGGTTTTATGGCGGTTTGATGGGTTTAACTTTTTGAACTTCTGTCACTGTTGTTGCTTTCGCTTTCTCCTTTTTCTCTGTTTAATAATAGGTCATCACCCTTATAAAAAAAATCAGTTGCTACCAACCACTTCCTCACACGCCCCCTCAAACGAAAATAGATACATGGGCTTGAAGTTTGCACAGACCCGCCAAACCATATGTTTGAAGACAACGATTAATATTGAGGGTTGTGATGATGGAAACCAACTTCGTTAGCGTTTCCATATTTATTATTATTATTACTAATATGGTAATTCTTATTATGGTTAGTAGTATTCTAGTAGAATTAGGTTTATTATTAGGGTTTTCCTATCACTTCCTCTAAATATGTACTTGGTGGTTTCATTATAATCAATAAGAAGAATATTAAGAAAACTCGTCTAAACCCTAATCTCCCAATCCTCTCAATTCTCGTTCTCAGTCCCTCTAAAGGCCTAGGCCGATTCTCTATCCTTCTCTTCTCAAATCCCTAATTCTGTTCTTAATCCCTAAATCCCTAATTCCCGATAGAACCCTAATCCCAGGTTCTATCACGTGAGGACTTGAACACGTGATCTACAGAACAAACCCAGCTTTGATACCATATCAAGAATCAGTTGCTCTCAATAACTCGAGTTGTGAAACAATCTCAGGAATCCTACGCCTTGTATTATTGATTTATGTAATATATATACAGCTCAACCTGTTACAATTGTAACTATTCCTACGGAAATAACAGAAGAGAGTGGCTGAGTTGTAGGAACAGAATACAATGGAATACAGTAAAGTGGGAAGGTGGAGAATAAGTAAATTCCAATACTAAGAGAGATATTTCTATCTCTATCACGCCCCCGCAAGTGGAACCTCGGAAAGGTGAAACTTGGAACCGAAACGTCAAAATGGCAGTCGAGATAATGGTTTAGTGAGGACATCAACCAACTGGTCTATAGTAGGAAGATAACGAACATGGAGTTGATGCTTGTTGACCCTATCCCGAACAAAGTGAAACTCAATTTCCAAATGTTTGGATATGGGGTGGAAGACAGGATTATGGGCCCAATATGTCGCCCCCAAATTATCACACCATAGAACTGGGGCAATAGATAATTGTTGACCAAGTTCTGTGAGCAGAGCTTGAACCAAATGACTTCGGAAGCAAGGGTAGCCAGAGCACGATACTCACACTCAGTGGATGACCAGGCAACTGACTTCTGCTTTCTTGTGGAGCACGAAACCAAGTTGTCACCATAGAAGACTACAAAACCTGTAATAGACATACGATCACGAGGGCAAGAGGCAAAAGAAACATAAGAGTAACCATAAATTTTTCGACTGATGGAGCGTTGGAAGACAAGTCCTTGGTCAATAGTCCCCTTCAAATACCGCATAATTCGTTTGATAACGGACCAGTGAGAGTCGGATTGCTAGCACGCTGCAGAAGTTCTTGAACATATTTGCGTTGACTAATGATGATGCCGTTGATAGTGTGATGTACCTCTAAGCCTAGAAAATATGAGAGACGCCGAGATCACGAAGAGCAAAGAGGGTTTGTAAAAATCGTATCAGCGGTAGAATCAGTGCCGGTGATAATAATGTCGTCAACATAAAAATAGAAGCCTTGGTATTATGGTAGATAAACAGAGATGGATTTGTTTTGGAGGGAGAGAAGCCGAATTCAGAGAGGGCCTTAGATAAGCAGTGAAACCATACCCGAGGAGCCTGTCGTAAGCCATTGATTGACTTCTTCAGTCGACAAACATGATCTGGCTTATCCGGGTCGACAAAACTTGCAGGCTGCCGCATATAGATTTCTTCTTGCAAGCTGCTATGACGAAAGGCATTAAAAATGTCGAGTTGATACAGAGGCGAGGAGTTGGAGACCACAATACCCAGAAGAAGCCGTATAGTGGCTATCTTTATAACGGGACTGAAGGTGTCCGTAAAATCACGACCAGGAATCTGTTCGAAGCCACGGGCAACAAGGCATGCCTTGTGTCGTTCAATGGAGCCACCAGGGTTGGTCTTCAGAGCGAAGACCCAACGATTGCTGATAGGATGATAACCCGGAGGTAGAGGAACTAATTCCCAAGTCCGGTTGAGGAAAAGAGCGTCAAACTCGGGGGTCATAGCTGCACGCCATTGAGGAGACTTGAGAGCCTGAGCAGTGGTCGTGGGTAGGCCAGGAGAATTGGCAGTAGTGAGATTGTGTCGAGTGGGCAAGCGGCCGGTCTGGGAACGAGTCACTGGACGAGAAGGGGAAAGGGTGGAAGATGAGGGGATGATGCAAGGAGATGTATGAAAGGGAGGGCGAGGAGGGCGTGGGTGGTGAGGTGGGGTCGTGGAAGGCAGAGGAGATGAGGAAGAAACCGGTGGAGGGGTGTCTTTGGTGGTGAGAAGGCGGCGATGGTATTGGAGGAGGGGAGGAGAGGACGGTGGAGGAATGTGGGGTTTTGATCGGCGACGATACTGGAGCAGGGACCGAGGAGCAGACGGAGGAGAGGATTGGTTGGGCGGGGTTGGAGAAGCAGGAGAATGATGGACGATCGGTTCGTAATCGTATGAACTAAAACTAAAAGAAACTGAAAATACTGGTTTATTCTTCTTTGAATGATTAAAACATAGAAACAAAGTACATATTTATAGTTGAACCGGA